TTTAATTCTAGAGGTTGAATTTATAGAACTTTGAGATAAAAGTTGCCCTGGCCAGTTTGGCTCAGCGGTTAGAGTGTCGGCCCGCAGACCAAAGAGTCGTGGGTTTGATACCGGTCAAGGGTTGTGGTTCAGTCTGGTCAGGGTCATGTGGGAGGCAACCAATAGATGTGTCTCTCTTGCAGCAACGTCGCTGTCTGTCTGTCTCCCTCTCTCCCTCCCACTCTATCTGAAGATAGATGGAAAAATACCCTCAGGTGAGGATTTAAAAAAAAAGTAACAGTTATGTAGGAAACAGGAGTCCTCAAGGGTGAGTTCAGTGTTTCTGCATACCTGGTGGTGCCACATTTAGAAACAAAAACATTCACAGGAAGAACATATTTGGGTGGGTGTGGGTGGGGATGCAGTTTGGCACAAACTAAACATGAAATGCATTTGAGACATCCAAGTGGAAAGGGCAAGAAGGTCTGCAGTTCAAAAGAGAGCTCTGAGCTGAGGCTATAGCTTTAGAAATGGTAAGCATATAGGAATTGAAGATGGTGGAAAAGGATGAGATCACTCAGACAGAGACGGGGGTGGCGGGGGCGGGAGGAAGGGGGAGGGGGGAGGAGTGGGGAAGAGAAATCAGGAATAAATGCTAAAAGAATCCAACATTTCAGGTTGGGTAGAGGAAGAGCAGTCAGCAAAGAAGCCTGAGAAGAAACAGCCAGAGGGGCAGGAAACACAACAGGAGAGTTTGGTATGAGACACCTCAAGAAAAGTGGGCGATTGACAGCTTCCAATGCTGGGTGTTGCACATCTTCTGATAAGACAGGTGACTGAAAGGACACAGTACGCTTGAGTCTGCGGAGGTCACCGTTGGCCCAATGAGTAGTTCTGGTGCAGAGATGGGGCAGAAAGGAGTCAGGGAACAGGCTCCAAGTAACCGGGAGGTAATGGGATGGGTTCTGGGTAAGAGACGGCAGTGTTTTCAGTAATGAAGGAAGGGGAGAGAAAGTGAAGATAAGGGTAGTTGTGAGTCTGGTTATGGGAAGACAAGTCTTTCCTGTTAGGTGCCAGTCAGCCATGGTATTCACTAGGGAATAAAAGGGGAATACGATACAGAATCAAAGTCAGGATGCTCACTCAAGAAGTCAGGAAGATAGCAAACCAAGTCCCATGTGATCCACATAGTATCAATCTGGTGATGGAGATAATGATAGGATCCCAGGGGAGAAAACTTGTACAACGGCATCACCAGTGAACTGCTATAAGTTATGTAAATATAATGTAATCCCTAGAACAGGCCCAAAAAAGCTACACAAAGAGATACAATAAAAATAGAAAACATACTTTAAATAAATAAAAATGGAATTCCACAAAATGTTTAAGAAATCTATAGAAAGCCAGGAAAAGGAAAACAGAAAAAGAACAAACAGAAAACAAAAAATAAACTGGCAGACTTAAGTGCTAATGTATCAATAATTACATTAACTGCAAATGGTCTAAATAAGGGCCAATCCACCAAGATGACACAGAACCCGAAATAGTATGCATCAAATAACAGACTGCAAAATACTGATAGAACTGGAAGTGAAAACTGATAGAACGGGAAGGAGAAATAAACAAATCCACAATTACAGTAGGAGATTTCAACACTCCTCTTCCACCAATTGATAGAGCAACTAGACAGAAAGTGGCAAGGGTACACACTAACTCAACAATATCAACAACAGGACACAATTGATATTTATGGAACATTCCACATACCACCACAACCTACCCAATGTGAAAAAAATCTGAATAACTCTTTAACTATAAAGAAAAGAGAATTAGTACGTTTTTTAAACTCTCCTGGCCCACATGGTTTCACTGGAGAATTCTGACAAACATTTGAAGAGGAATTAGTGTTAATTTTCTACAATCTCTCTGAAAAAGCGGACAAGCAGGGAACACGTCTCAATTCACTATAGGAGACAGTATGACAAAGACGACACAAACACAGAAACCTTAGGAATATCCCTCGTGAACATGAAGAGACAGACGTGAGGATGTGGAGCAACTGGAATCTCTGACATTGCTGGTGGGAGAGTCGGCGGTGCGACCCCTTTGGAAAGTGGTTTGGGATAAGCTACTCAATGCACACACTCTGCGGTCCAAAGACCCGCACAAGGGTAGTTCAGTTGCAGCGTGTGGCTGATGAATATTCATCAAGTTGTATTCTTAGGTTATATGTGCTTTTCTCTATGCATGCTTTATTTGATTAATTAAAAAAGAGTAAAAAGCCTACTGAAGCTGAAGATAACAGGTGAGCACAGTTCTGAGGGAGTGGCAGGCTTTGGGGAGCTGAGGTTAATTCCAATGTTACAAGTGGTGTTACTGGAGCAGAGAGCAGTTCAGGAAATGGGCCAACGCTGCAAAACTACTGGGTAGTTGAGCATGGATTTGAACCGAGGGAGCAGGGCTGCTGAGCCTGTGCTATGCACTAAACACCTGTCTCTTTATCTTCGAGGCCACAAAGGCACTGAGGATAAAGGAAATGGTAGACAGGAGTGTTCTGAGGCTGCTTTAGGGTGGGCAAGCACGCACACCCACTTGATGGTTTTGTTGATGTCTCCTTGTCATAGTGGCTACAGAGGCTGGCGACCAATATCCACAGCACAACCAGGTGTCGTGCAGAAAAGGTTAGCATTTTAGTTTACTATATTTACCAAGACAGGGAAATGTTCTTTCTCTACATTTATATGTTTGTTTTGTTTTGTTGTTGTTAATCCTCACCCAAGAATATATGTTCCCATTGATTTTTAGAGAGAGTGAAAGGGAGGGAGAGAGAGAGAGAAACATCGATGTGAGAGAGACACATCAACTGGTTGTCTCCGCATGTGCCCTGACTGGGGATGGGGATCAAACATGCAACTCAGGCTTGTGCCCATGACTGGAATCAAACCCTCGATGTTCTGGTCTATGGGCCAACACTCTAACCACTGATCACACTGGCCAGGGCTGTATAATATATTTTTGACAGATTGTGAGTTGAGGGACAAACTGATTATATCTGAAAAGTTGTTTGTGTTAACTGTTCAATCATCTCCCGATGCCGGAGAAACATAGCACGTGCGTGTGTGCACAGGCTCCACCCACTCTTTCGGGCACAATCGTATTTTGGTTTTAGAAAAAAAACCAAACCATATCATTAAATTTTTTAGAAGCATGGAAATTACGATTTTGTAATCAGGCCAGGGTATAATTATAGGCCAGAGCCAGATAACTTAATATAATTAGTGTTACAGCAATCACTGAAGCTACCACACAAAACCACTGTGTGAAACCTTAATTAAAAGAGAGGAGATTACTGTATAAAAGTCACTCATTCTGTCAGCTGCTTGCATTGCAAAAGGTGGGAAGGTGCACACACGTAGGGACCAAATGCAAGAATAAAGGGTCTGACCTTATATTCCCAGTACAACATTATCAGTGGGTATAGACTGGAAATAGTCCCTAATAAAGCAAGATGAGTCAATGAAAAGTTCTTGCTGCCTTAGAGAACATCACTGATAACTAGTTTTTTAAAATTGAGTGTGTAGTGGAAATATTTCCTGGAAATAAATCATGAAATTCCTTCCAAATTAAGAAAGGTTTGCTGAATGAATGAAAGACTTTCTAATATAAAGTTTACACAACTACACGTTTGATATGACTTAATCCACAACACACCTATCTGAACTTCTCCCTAGGAAAACCCACACAGAGATGAAATCATTTGCTGAGAGTCATGCAGCCAAGGAGCCCACAACAGGAGGCCTGTGGCTCTCCAGGTCTAGCGCAGTGCCTGTGTTGTGGACAGCTGACCGCCCAGGTGTGTACACCCGAAACAAACGAATCAGCCTCTGAGAAACCCAAGCCCGAGTGGTCTGCCTGGTTCAGTCCACCTTCCTTCACTCGGGTTTTCTCCACTCGTCAGTGTAGTTTCAAGAGGCACTGACTTCCATCTTGTGCCCAGTTCCTTCTTTCTTGACTCACCACCTCTTACAAGGTGAGCAGACACTTTGGTGACCTCACAGCCACGCTCTGCTCAGACGTTCTTCCTGGAAACTTCCTTTGGCTTTTCTTTCACCTCTGTCTGCATGCTCTGTGTTATTTGCCTTCGCACGTCTAGACGGCGGCATCACCTGCAGGCGCTCCACAGTCCCTTATATAACGTTCCTTCTCCCCAGGTCACCGAACAGCACCCGTGTTTTGCAGCACATGTAAAAACGACTTAGGAAGCAGCCTCTCAGAATCGTTCTTAGACTTACCACCTTCATCCGAGCCTGACAGATTGCAGCACAAGTAACAAGACAAAGGAGACACGAGCGTAGGAAAATCTGTCCTTAGTGTTTTCAAACTTGCATAAGAACACAGCATTGCCCGAAGTGCAGAGGTGAAAGTGATGAATGTTGAGTGGATAGTTTTTCACTTTAACTGACTGATCAGAAGAGTATTTACAAACCCCCGACTAATGTCTCGAGCTGATGAATCAACACCAGAGGAGAACATTTCAAGCATATTTATCATTTCAGACAAACAGGCTATTCTGAGTGTGATTATTTTTTATTCATCATTTTAGCTCACTTCTATGTTTGCGTCTTCTCAGTGTTAATAATATCTGTATAAGACTTCTCCATATTTAATGCTGTGCTTGCCTGTTGCATGCTGATGAAGTCAAGCTCACGTCTGATCTCCAGAAGGCCAGTTAGCTTTCCAAAAAAAGAGCTTCTATTGCACACTGAAGCCTGACCCCAGCCAGCTTCCGTATAAATAGCTGTTGTTGGCTTTGATGCCATAAGAAGCACAGAATTACAGTTTTAAGGGAAATTAAGGTCAAGGTATTTTAACAGACTTGCCAATGGCACTGAATCTTGTGATTAGCAAAGGACACCCAGCTTCATGGAATTGCCATCATTCAGCATTTGTGTGACTGAGTTAATACCCAGGACAGTGTCATCATGTCACATCCACACAACACACACAAAAGATGGACTTACCTGTTCATTCTCCTCTTCATCACTACTTAGCTTAAGGTCATCTTCTAGCATTCTGGAAGAAGGGACAAAGAGGTACAGATACTTAGCAAATGCAAAATAGTTTATCAACAAAGCATCCGAGTGAGAACAATGTTCCCAGTAATAACTCTATTAGATTTACTAATTTACTAATTTGGAATGCTCGTTTTGAGTCCTTTTCCTGAGATGCTCTACGAAGTAACACACTGCCACATTGTGAAAATTAACCCTCACAATAGTCACAGCATAAGATGGGCTGCTTCCAGAAAAACACAATCAAACCACGCTTTTCCTTGTGAGGTTGAATCCCCCAGTTATTTGTCAGGTCTCCCCGTGGCAGGTGCTGTGTGATGTGTCCATTTCTGCTCATGGAGAAGGGATCAGGGGGCAAGGAGATCTCTGCCAGGAGTTAGAAAGCAACATGCTTGAGTGTGAGCAACAGATGCTCAGGTCTTGCACACGTCGGGTCTGGAGAAGACACCTGCCTGCAGGTCCTGCTGGACAAGGGACACCAAACAGGAGAGGACCTTCCTGAAAGACTCCGAAGAAAACGCCCCAGTGCCCCTGCATCCCTCCGATCTGTATGACAGAGCATGCTTTTGGGTCCATAAAAGTTAAGGGTAAAACAAAAACAAAAACAGAAAGATCCCCTTCGAACCCTACGGTTTCTGATGATGGTAAAATATTATCAGCACTGTTGAATTGTTTATAGAATGTTAGTGTTCAGATTAAGTAATTTCAAAAGAAATCTCACGTAGGGGCGCACTCTGTAACAGAAACGGATGCAGCTGTTCTGTCGGGGGCGGGAGTCTTTCAGTAATGAGCCCTGGGGCACCAGAGATCGGTCTCGAGGCCCCTGAGCCCTGCGCTCGAAAGGCCTCACTCTCCTTCTTGAAGTCACCTTCCAAAGACTGTCCCCCAAAATGTGCCTTGATTCCTTTAAAAGCCAGTTATAGACCTATCATCAGTTTACTCCTCTGAATATTTTGGTAAGTGATGTCAGTGACTTTTGGGGTGAACGTGGATAAAGACCTGCCAGGATGGGGCATGGGCAGAGTTCTGCCCCAACAGGCTTCATGTTTGGGGCAAGTCACTTAAACTTCCCTGCCCGGGCCTGACTGTGAAATGGTGATTCCAAGCAACCTTCAAGGTCCAGTCCAGCTTTAGATTCTGTAAGCGACGGAAATACATTTGCCGCTATTTTGTAGCAAAGGAAAACGCTGTACCCCAGGGCACATGTCTGTTTCCTCGCAGGCTACAGCTACTCTTACCAGTAGCGAGAAGTCTTATTTGCTTATGATTTAAACCTCAAGCAAACAAACAAAACATCGGCCAAGACTATAGAGCTGCGCCCCCGACTGCTCTTTGTGTCCGTTTGGCATGTCATTCATTTCCCGTGACCTCAGGAACTCGTACCCCAGGCTTTGAAGAGAAGACACATGGTGCTGATTGATTAGAGTATCGTTTGGGAGGAACCTAGGGAGGGGGATGTGTTTCCTTTGTCCTTGAGTCCCTGGTGTCTAGCACTGTGACGGCCCAGAGAAAATACCAGCGTGTTGGCTGGGCTGGGGCACCTTCCCCAAGACTATTTTCCTACCAAAGGTACACATGCCTTTCTGATGAAAAACAGCAGAGAAGCAGGCCAGTTTCTCGCCTCCAGCCCTGACTCCCTCTTTTGGGGTAAACTGCCAACTGCAATTTGGTTTAATCTCACACACTGCCCTTTGAGCACTGGGTGTTCCAAGTGTGGGTGGTCCTGTCAGTGGGTAGAAAAAGGGAGGGGAGAACACACACAATCACCGTTAACAACCCCCTTGTCAGGGGCAACTGAGAAGTTTCATCTTTACACGGGCAATCGTGTGCACAGATTTGAAGGCCACGGTCAACGGGAGGAGGAAACTCCCAAACGCTACAGAGCAAGGGATCTGACCTTGGCTGTAAACCAGCCGTGTGACTCGGTCACCACACGAGGTGGGCAGTGCTGGAAGTGACCACAGTGGTGAAGATAGCATGCCAGGGTCTCTTCTACGGCGGAGGGCACAGCCAGTGTTGTTTATTTTGAGCATGTGTGAAACGTGAATGCATTTCCGGTCAAATCTCACACTGCCTCTCACATCCCGACCCCCGCAAGTCACACCTCTGGACCTTGGCTTTGTCATGTCTGCCGTGAGTGAGACTCGTCTACCTGGCCATGACTTCTGAAGAAAAGCAGTCCGAGACCCACCTTGCTTTGTGAACAGTAACCATGGTACCCCCGAATCTCTCACTCATCTATACAAAAAAGAGTTTAGTGTGTTTCTGGCTAGTATCTTAAAACTGAGGATCACACGTAAAAATACTCTGCATTCAAGAGACGTTAGACTCCAATAAAAGGTCAGACTATCTTAGACGCTGAGGAGATGGTGACAGAGACACGAAGTCACAGACACAACCCATGGCAATCCTGGATGCTGCTGTTCCCCTCACGTGCGAGACGGATCAGGCTAGACACTGCCACCCTGTGCCCCGATCCCGGACAGCCCCACTGCTGAGACAGCTGAGCGGTCCAAGAACGAGGCCCAGCCCTTCTGCTTGTCTGCTGGTCCCAGCAGAGTCCCCCTGACTCAGCTCCCAAAGCACAGTGCTTGTGTCCATCCACCACGCTCTTCAGTCTGGTTTAATGCTCAAGATAAGTGCCCACTTTTAGTGCTGGAAATATCAAAGCGGCCTCTGAGAGAGCCTGAGGAGGAGCTGAAGTGTATTTGAGGTTACAGCTGAACAACACAACCTGGTTGGAGAAGAAAAGAGAAAGAATGTGACCCCCAGCACCCTGAGAGCTGCCCGTGTTTGGTGGGTGGCAGGGAGCCGAGGCCCGGTGCCTCCGAAATATGGCAACGGCCCCACTGCAGCTGTGCCCCAACTCCAGTCCCACCCACGTGGCAGCATGTTTATCATTTGTTTGTCTTCAAAAGGAAACACACTGGCATAGGCATAATAAACAAGAACAAACAACACACACACAGAAGTTTTATACCAAGAGTAAAAGAAAATACAAACCAAGCGCTGGTTAGGCCATGGGGTCTGGGTGGGGGAACGTCTGACTATGTTTTTGAAGAAAGGAAGGCGAAGACTGAAGGAGGAGCTGAGGACAGCTGGGGACGGGCCACCTGCACACAGGTGCTTCAGCCCCGCGCCAGCTCGCACGGGCACCCTGCCACATGCCACACCCCTACATCGGAGCACCACCGGCCTTCAGCCAGTGATGCCACCCACCCAGAGGCCCTCTCCTTCGCGTCCTGAGGAGCCTTCCGAGGTGACTGAGCTCCTGCTGAAGAGGAGCAGCTCTTAAGGTTGAATGGATGCTCTGGCTGGGCCTGCTGAGCACGTCCTAGACTATCTCATTCACTCCCACAGCAACTCCTCGGAGGTTTCTCTCAGGGTCTGAGCATGGGCGCTGGAGGCAGACCGCCCAGGCTGAGTCCCAGCTCTGACACTCGGCCGGCTGAGAGACCGGACACCTGCCTCACAGGGTTTTCCAGAGAGGGTTTATGCAGTCCCCAGAAAGTGCTCAGCACAGAACCTGGCACAGAATAAGCATTTGATAGATGCTCACTTTACTAACACTCCTTTTACCTTTGAGGGTGATGAATGCCTGGGAGCATTTCAGGAACTTGCATGGGTAAACAATTTTGGAGACAAAGATGTTTCCGCAAGGAAGCCTTGAAACGAAACCATCTGCTCTACTTTCAGGCCATTTTGAAAAGAAAAGATGATGCTCTCTGGAGGGTGGAGGGTTTAACTGCTGCCATGGTTGATTGATCTGACGTGACTTTGTCTACATCAGCCTGAGTGCACAAGGAGATATGCCCTGGGAGTCGGTGGTCAGCCTCACGGCCAGCACTCTCTTAGGAAGACCCACTGCCTGATGACAACGGGGACAATGAAATAAAATAGACAATAAGGTCCAACTCTGCACTTTTGCAGCGGTGCTGCTGGCAGTGCAGAGAAGCCTGGACCTACGCCCTGAACACCTGAGCAGCTGCTGTCAGGAGCACAGGGCACTGCCGGATAAGACTGCCTGAGAGTCTGCACCAGGTAACCGAGGCCTGAGGCTTGGAAGGGTGTCAAGCAGGACTTTTAAAAAATATACTTTTTATTGATTTTTTTAGAGAGAGAGGAAGAAAGAGAGAGATAGCAACATTGATGTGAGAGAGATACATCGATCAGCTGCCTCCTGCATGCCCGCTACTGGGGATGGAGCCCACAACCCGGGCCTGTGCCCTGACCGGGAATGAAACCGGAACCTCTCAGTCTGTGGGATGATGCTCAATCCACTGAGCCACACTGGCCAGGCAAGCAGGACATTTTTTATGTGTAGTTAGGTGATTGAGATTCTATCCATTTTTGACTGGGGAACTGTGTTAGACAAAAGCTCTTAGGATAACTGTCCCAGGCACAGTATAACACTGCCCCAAACACCCAGTGCAAAGGACCAGAATGCTCTGAGCCGTGGGCTGAAATGTCTTGGTCTTCATGCCGGAGGGAGGGCCTTGCACAAACTGCATAGAAAGGGTCTGCTCAGACCGCGGAAGGAATCAGGTGCAAATGTTGCCCCTCCCCTCAGTCTGCCAGGTGGTGGGCCTCTCTAATGGGGACGATGAGTGGAAACTCTGCCTCACCACAACAGGACAACTGGCATCCAAACTCCCAGCCGTTGACTCATTCACTCATGTGTTCAATGGGTGGCAGGCAACTATCTATGACAAGCACCTGTCTCCCAGGGCGGGTTCCCCTCACACAATGCACTCAAACCAGCATTGCTGTTTTAGCCACTTTTTTTTAAAATCCCCACCTGAGGATATTTTTCTATTTATCTTCAGATAAAGTGAGAGGGAGGGGGAGAGAGAAAAAGAGAGAGAGAGAGAGAGAGGGAGAGAGAGAAACATCAACGTGAGAGGGACACATCGACTGGCTGCCTCCTACACGACCCGATCAGGGTGGGGACGAACTGCAACCGAGGTACATGCCCTTGACCGGAATCAAACATGCAATTCT